TTTAGTAGGATGCTCTTTAGCCTCCATGTATTTGAGTTCCTTCTGACTTTCCTCTTGTGATTGAGTTCTAGTTTCAAAGCATTGTGGTCTGAAAATATGCAGGGAATAATCCCAATCTTTTGATACTTACTGGTTGAGACCTGATTTGTGACCTAGGATGTGATCAATTCTGGAGAATGTTCCATGGGCACTAGAGAAGAATGTGTATTCCGTTGCTTTGGGATGGAATGTTCTGAATATGTCTGTGAAGTCCCTTTGGTCCAGTGTTTCATTTAAAGTCTTTATTTCCTTGTTGATCTTTTGCTTAGATGATCTGTCCATTTCAGTCAGGGGGGTGTTAAAGTCCCCCACTATTATTGTATTGTTGTCAATATGTTTCTTTGCTTTTGTTATTAATTGCCTTATATAATATAATTGGCTGCTCCCATGTTAGGGGCATAGATATTTACAGTTGTTAGATCTTCTTGGTGGATAGACCCTTTAAGTAGGATATAGTGTCCTTCCTCATCTCTTATTACAGTCTTTGTTTTAAAATCTAATTTGTCTGATGTAAGGATTGCCACCCCAGCTTTCTTTTGGTGTCCATTAGCATGGTAAATGGTTTTCCACCCCCTCACTTTCAATGTGGGGGTGTCTTTGGGTCTAAAATGAGTCTCTTGCAGACAGCATATTGATGGGTCTTGTTTTTTAATCCAATCTGATAGCCTGTGTCTTTTGATTGGGGCATTTAGCCCATTTACAATCAGGGTAACTATTGAAAGATATGAATTTAGTGCCATTGTATTGCCTGTAAGGTGACTGTTACTGTATATTGTCTGTGTTCCTTTCTGGTCGATGCTGCTTTTAGGCTCTCTCTTTGCTTAGAGGACCCCTTTCAATATTTCTTGGAGGGCTGGTTTCGTGTTTGCAAATTCCTTTAGTTTTTGTTTGTCCTTGAAGCTTTTTTATCTCTCCTTCAATTTTCAATGACAGCCTAGCTGGATATAGTATTCTTGGCTGCATATTTTTCTCGTTTAGTGCTCTGAAGATCTCATGCCAGTCCTTTCTGGGCTGCCAGGTCTCTGTGGATAGGTCTGTTGCCAATCTAATGTTTCTACCATTGTAGGTTACATATCTCTTCTCCCGAGCTGCTTTCAGGATTTTCTCTTTGTCTCTGAGACTCGTAAGTTTTACTATTAGATGTCGGGGTGTTGACCTATTATTATTGATTTTGAGAGGGGTTCTCTGTGCCTCCTGGATTTTGATGCCTGTTTCCTTCCCCACATTAGGGAAGTTCTCTGGTATAATTTGCTCCAATATACCTTCTGCCCCTCTCTTTCTTCTTCTTCTGGGATCCCAATTATTCTAATGTTGTTTCATCTTATCGTATCGCTTATCTCTCGAATTCTGCCCTTGTGATCCTGTAGTTGTTTATCTTTCTTTTTCTCAGCCTCTTTATTTTCCATCATTTGGTCTTCTATATTGCTGATTCTCTCTTCTGCCTCATTTATCCTAGCAGTTAGTGCCCCCATTTTTGATTGCACCTCATTAATAGCCTTTTTGATTTCGACTTGGTTAGATTTTAGTTCTTTTATTTCTCCAGAAAGGGTTTCTCTAATAACTTCCATGCTTTTTTCAAGCCCAGCTAGTATCTTTAAAGTCATGATTCTGAACTCTAGGTCCCACATCGTACTAATGTCCATATCGAGTAGGTCCCTGGCAGATGGTACTACCTCTTGTTCTTTTTGCTGAGGTGATTTTTTCTGTCTTGTCATTTTGTCCAGAGGAGAACAGATGAATGAGAGAACAAAATGCTAACAGGTTAACAACGTCCCCAGCAAATATACTCTATACAAATCAGAAAAGACCTGAAACAAGGGAAAAGAAAGGGAAAGAAAGAAACAAGAGAAAAAAAAAAGAAAAAGATAAAACAAACAAAAACAGAACAAAAAAAACACAATATGATCAAATATGATCAGGCTAGTGCATAGATTAGTGCCACACACTAGATTTTGGGCGTATTTTGGTCTGTTAGAAGAAAGTGCCTCCTAAAATTTTAAAGGAAGAAAGACATATATGTACAAAATAAGGGTTTATACAATGAAGGGATGGAAGATGACTGTAAAGATGAGAATTATAAAAGATTTTATAAAAGGAATTGATAGATAAGAAGTTGTTTGAAAAAAGAAAGAAGAAGATTTAAAAAAAAAAAAGGAAAGAAAAGAAAAAAAGGGAGGGAATGTGATCAGGCAGGTTAGAACAAAGCCATACACTAGTGATTTAGGGTATATTTTGATCTGTTAGAAGAAACTGTATCTCAAAATTTTAAAGAGAGAACAACTTATATGTATATACCAAAAATAAGGGTAACTACTATGAAGGGATAAAATATGACTCTAAAAATGAAAAATAAAAAACGTTTTTTTTTTAAAAAGAGACTGATAAGATGTTGGTTGAAAAAGGGAAAAAGAAAAATTAAAAAAAAACAGTTAAAAAAATTAACTTTGAAAAACAAATGAATCATGGTAAAAAAGCCATGAATTCTATGTGCCGTATTCCCCTAGCGCTGGAGTTCTCCTGGTATCCTTGATTTGTAAACTTGGTCTTGGCTTGCGGGCTGTTGGTGCTGATCTTCTGGGGGAGAGGCCTGTTGCCATGGTTCCCAAATGTCTTTGCTGGAGGCGGAATTGCCCCGCCCTTATCGTCCGGGCTAAGCAATCTCCTCGGGTTTGCTCCCAGGAGCTTTATGTTCCTCACAAGCTTCCGGCACAGCTTTGGAGGACCAGGGTGAAAATGGTGGCCTCCCAATCTCAGCCCGGCGGAGCCGAGAACTCGGGGCCCTGCTCCCCGGTGCGCCCCCAGAGAAAAGCAGTCACTCCCGTCTCCCCGGGCTCCGGTCGCACTCCGTGCTCACCCGGCCTGTGACCGAGCGTTTCTATCTCTGGCACCCGACCCCGTGTGGAGTCTCCAAACCCAGCAGATCCCTGCGGTGCGCTTCCGCGCCACTCCTCCCAGGGGGAGGAAGGGGAGTCTCCCCGGATCTGCTGCTTGTTGGGTCCCTGCTGGAGGAGCAGTGGCCCGACTGTGCCACGGATCACGGTTTATGGCCACCCCGAGCTGAGAGCCCGCGCCTCGGCTCCGTCTCTGCAGCCGGCTTCCCTGCTCCGATACCTGGGAGCTCTGCCGCACTCAGGCACCTGCAGTCTTTCTGTGACCCCGGGTCCTGAGACCACACTGTCCCCGAGGGTTCCACCCCCCGCTTAGCCACTGGAGTGACGTCCCTCAGCGGAGCCGGCTTCTCAAAGTTCCGATTTTGTGCTCCGCGGCTCTAGCACTTGCCAGAAGCGGCTGATGGAGGCCCCCTCCCCCGCCATCTATCCTCCCGAATATCGCCTCGGATTCACTTCTCTGCACGTCCTACCTTCCAGAAAGTGGTCGCTTTTCTGTTCAGAGAGTTGTTGCTATTCTTTTCTTCGATCTCCTGTTGAGTTCATAGGTGTTCAGAATGGTTTGATCCCTATCCAGCTGAATTCCTGAGACCAGATGAAATCCAGGTCTCCTACTCCTCCGCCATCTTGCTCCACCTATTTAAAAGCTCTTATAGTGAAACTAAGATCTCTCATAGCTATAGTAATGAAGGTTATTAAATACATTTGTCTATATTTTATAATGCAAATTTTTATTTTCTTTTTTCTTACATATTTTTGACTTTTTAGTGTGCAACATAATGACAATGATTTTTTTTCCTGAGCATCAAATTGATTTTTAGAATTTCCCAATTGAGGGAAAAACAGAGGGATAGAACAACAAAGTTGAGTGAAATGTAGTTTTAGACAAATATGAAATTATCAGTGTAAAAGGTTATCTTCTCTCTGTGAGAAGCGAGAAAGTTTATATGCAGGAGAAATTTTTTCATATATACATAGGCACAAAAGAGAAAGTCATTACAGGTTTAAATAGTAACTCAAGCCCTTGACAATTTTATCAAGCCATACAATTAAAAGCCAGTGTTTATTAATCCCTATAGAAGGGAAACAGAAGGGAAATCTACATTAATCACAGTGCTCTCTTTCTTTTAGACCAGTTATACAATCTCCTCTTGAAAGTTTCTGTTCCCTTTTTACCTCAGGCATTTCTCGAATGAACATCCTTGTTCATGTCAAGTGGCCACTCTAATTCTAATTTATCCTCAGTGAAGTTATGCCAGGTGCTAACACAAGCTTATTAGCAGAGAAGCCCATGAGAGATTTTTGGACTGTTGATCAGAGGTAAAATATCACTTGTGTTTTAAGTCTTCAGACCTAAGTTTAGGCTGCTTCTACTCGCTGACCTGAGAAATCAGCAGCCACCTGGCTCAAACATGTGGAGAGATCTTTCCCAAAGCCAATTTCTCATACCCAGAGAAGGCTGGAGAAAGTTCTCATAGACAAACAGAAGATGGTGTTAAAAGCCAAATTTTACCAGGGGACACTCAGGTCTGATCAAGAAACCAAAAATTGCAGCAAATATTAAACTGTTGTATCTTTGGTCCTTCAATATCAGAATCTAAATTCAGTCTAAAACCACACAATTAAAGACAAAGAGACCTTCAATGTCTTGAGATTCAAGGAGTCTCAGATATGCACATTATTAGTGAGTCAAGGAGGCCAATGCTTAGTAGGGAAGGTCTTGACCAAATATCAAGAGAACCTCCAAATGTCGTATTTAGGACAACAGGAGTAAGGTTGTAGTTGACAAAGTCGGTTTTATTGCTTCATTACCATGATGGAGGTCACACACCAGAGGAACCATGGGGTGGGTCACCAAGAAAGGAAAATTACAATACAGTTTTGAGGAAGGGTGGCATTTAGATGAAATTTATATGAAACAGTATTTTGATAAGTTAAAGGAGGGCTGTGTTAAAAGGGGCAATATCAGGTCTGGATGGTGAAATGGACACAAGTTCTCCTTTTCTTCGAAATTACAAATTAAGATAGATGTGGAATATCATACGCCCAAACCCCTAATTTGAATCTCCCTGGGTTGGATATCAAGCAGCTGCTCTGTGTCAAGGTGAATTAGATCCTGTAGGCAAGGGCAGGATATTTTGTTATTACTGAGATTATTTTAAAAGTAATTTTTCTGATAAACTATGACTTTTAGAAAGCCAGATTTCTCACTAACAAAGTAATAGTCATGCTACTGAGTGTCATTAGAACACTTTACAGCTGCAGTGTTTCCTTGGGAGAAATAGAATTTTCTGCTAACTTTGCAGTTGGCTTTATCTGTGTTCTGTGTCTGTTTTCCCAGCTTGATGAATGGCATGGTGGATTTTCAGTTTCTCAGGCCAAACTAATTTTCACTTTCTCAACATGTAACTTGGTCTCTTGTTTTACCAGCCTGTAGAACTTGCCAGAAAGAAGCTGTGGTGGCATGGGACCTTTTCTGAAAGTGATTAATCTCTTCCCTTCTTTTCTGTTTCCCTGCTTCCTAGGATGGGCTGTGTAATTTTGGGGCCCTAGTGCAGCCTGGGGTTCCCGAAGGAGGAACCCATAGGGAACAGAATGAGAAAGCAAGCCTTGGGGTGAGGTATAAAAGGTGTACAGGTTCCCCACTATCCAAAAGTAGTGCGTTCTTATGAAAATTTTCATAAGCCAAAAAAACGGCATAGAGCAAAGAGGCATTACCATTAATTTATATGGAAAATTTTTCTAATGTTCCCAGAATCCCCCCCACCCCCAAAAAACTTCTTAGGCTTTTCTGATACCTTAAGACACACCTTGCTAAAGGAGGCACAAAATAAATCAAGAGCAAGCACAGATGTTCACAGATACAGCTCAGAAGGTTGGCGGCTTGATGCTGAGATGCTGAGTATAGTTTTGGGGAAGGAGCTTGGGGTGCGTGTTGTCTCTGTAAAGGCTCTCTGCAACACAAACGCCAAAGGCTATTTTCACTGTTCACTTTTTTTGTAAAAGCAAAAATTCTCTTCGGATCTCTTTTGGGTAGCGAAAACAGGTGGTAGCGTAGGTCTTTCCTAAAAGCCAGGCTGCATAATACAAACTTTCAAAAAGCAGGGGAAATCTGGAACTACCTGAGTGGTCTGTGGGAGATGAAATGAAGGAATACACGTGAAATGCTTCCCAGGGTGTCTGCATATAGTAAGGTAACGATATAGGTTGGTATCCACAAAAGGGCTCACTACAAAATCACTTTTTGCTTTCCATCTTTTGTTATAAAGGTGAAAATCCTCTTCGGATTTCTTTCAGCTAGCAAAAACAGGTGCTAAGGTAAGTCTTTTGGAAAAGCAAAGTGGTGTTATATGAAGTTTGGAAAAGTTGGGGGAGGGTACCTGTATGATGAGTCTAGGATGTGGGGGAATGGGCAGGGGGAGCACGCCTTCGGTGCCCTTACTCTCTCTAGACCCTCTTGTTCCTATGCTGTTCCTGGGTTTAGTAACTGTGGGGTCAAGACCTGCGCAGGGAGGCTCGGGAAAGACCTCGCCATGGAGGCTGACCTGTGTCGAGCAGGCCCGTGGGAGATGCTGCTTTGTCAGTGTCCCCTTCGGTTCCTGCAGCTTCTCTGCCTGGGCCCTCCTCAACTCTGACCGCCACTCTCTTAGCAGACCTTCCAGAAAACCCATTACCAGTCCTTCTGGCTGAGCCGATATACTTCTGACCTATTTATCAGCCTCTCTTTCCAGGACCCTGCGGAGTCCCATCAACACTTGCAACTTCCCTAGCTTGTGTTTGACTCTGCTCCCACAGAGCCTGTTTTCTTCTCATTCCGTCCTGCCCTTCACAGTGGGTCCCACTCCCTCAACCCTCCATTCACCCTATTATTGCTAGCAGAGGCTCTCCCACATTCTCGCTCATTTTTTTCTCTACTCCCATAATGGCTTTATCTCCTCTGCCTGGGAGTCCTCCTTGCCTTGATCTTGCCTAATCTTTCACTATTATTCCTTCCCCCCCACTACCAGCTTCCTCATTTTTTCCACAAGATCTCTCTGCCTCTACCCGTCTCCCAGGTCCCCTTATTCAGTCTCATCACAGAGCACTGGATCCCTTTTTGCCTCTGGAGCTACAATCATAACAGACTGTCTTCTACTCCCATCATTTACCCTTTCTCCTCTCCCCTGGAACACACTCAGATACTACACCCTCTTCCCCAACCAGATCCCACCCCTTCACGTGATGCTACCCTCTTTGTAAGGACGTCAGCCTCTTATTTCTCACCAAAACCTCATTCACTCCATGAATCCCTCGGATTCATTTGCCTGTCAACCCCTTCCACCAACTGTCTCTACCCCACCATTGCCAGTCTCTAACAATGACTCAGGTTGGCTCAATTTCAATCTTACTGAACATTGTTCCAGAGAGCTCAGCTTCAGAGCCCTTTTGCCTGGCCTCTTCTGCTACAACCACCTTAGGCACTGACAGCTCAAAACACTTGCCCCTATCAACCTTCTGGTGGCAGGTGTCTGCTGAGGACTTGTTTCTCCCTACCTTCTCATTCTGTAACTTCCAGCGCAGGTTTTTGTTTGTTTGTTTGTTTGTTTGTTTCTATCAGGTTCCTTCTCTGGGGAGATCCTATAACCAGATATGTGGATTCAGGTAGACACTCTTTCCTCAGCTCTACTGTCCAGAAGCTCCTGGAGATACAAGTCACAAAGAATGTGGATTTCCAGATTTGGGAGGAGAAAGAAGAAGGGATCATTTCTAAAGCGATAAAGGGCATATTACCAACTCTATTGTTGGTAAGCATCCCTTATCGTTGTGCACTACTCCACAGCCCTCTGACTCTTCTGGAGATATGAAGGCAAACTAGAGAAATCGCATAGTCTGTAGGAGCTTACAAATCCCCAAGCCTTCACAGAATCAGCAGCAGAAATGTAGTTAGCTCTTCTGAAGTCCCTGCTCTGCACAGTGAGTCCCTGCTGGCTGCTCTCCTGTTCTTTGATAGCTGTCCCCCATTAGTTTCCCTTCACTTATTCAATTTTTAATGCCCTCCTCCTGCAATCGTAATGCAGATAACCAATCCCCAGAGAAACCAATTCCCCACCTTAAAGCCTAGCCCTAGCCCTTGGGGAAAAGTTCTAGAGAGAAAGAACTTACCAAAGAAGGATGGTATGTATCTTCTCTAAGTTGAGTTTCCACTTTAGGAATATGATGATGGAAATGAATTGGAATTCTTTCATGGAGGGAAATAGTTAAGGCCAAAGCATCTCCAGCTCTGGAATAGCTGGGTCAGCAGAAGCCCTGTGTCCATAAGCTTCAGGCCCCAAGGAAAAGCCAGAAAAATAATGTAACCCCAAAGGATGAGAGGACCTTAGGAGATCCACAGCATAAATGCATCAAAGAAGGGAGGTAGGATTAGGGACATACCAAGCCAAAGAGTTGCCTTCCCAGCCCAGGGACTTAGGTGACACCCTAATGAAAAAATCCCGTAGTTTTTGCCCCAGCTGAAATAGACTTCTACAAAAAGTCACTTAAGGGGCGCCTGGGTGGCTCAGTTGGTTAAGCGACTGCCTTCGGCTCAGGTCATGATCCTGGAGTCCCGGGATCGGGTCCCGCATCGGGCTCCCTGCTCGGCAGGGAGTCTGCTTCTCCCTCTGACCCTCTCCCCTCTCATGCTCTCTCTCTATCTCATTCTCTCTCTCAAATAAATAAATAAAATCTTAAAAAAAAAAGTCACTTAGGAACAAAGGACGAGATGCTTGGTTCAGTGGCTTTGTTCCAGGACACAGCTAAGGGCAAGAAGGTCGCTTGCAAAAACCTCCATCCCCTGTGCATCGTCCACATCCAGTTGAAACCAGAGGAGTTTGGGTAAAGTATCACAGTCATCGGTCCAAGCATTTGGGACACGTCAGTGAGAAAAACAAAACTGACTGCCCTTGTGGAGTTTACCTCTTTGGTCCTTGAGTCCGCGGCGGCTTCCTCTCAAACTACACAAAACTATCAAACCTCCTTCATTCTCCTCAAGCTTCTGCCCCGCCCACCTCCTCGAGAGATTTGCTGTGTGGCCCACAAGCCTTCGGATGGGAACTTTTCATCATCAAATCTTCAAAACCGTTGCATCCCACCTTTCTTTCCTCCTTCCTTACTGCTGTGTGAAGGAGGGGTCCTTTTGGAAGGGCTTTCTTGACCCTCCCGAGGAGGGACCGGTGCTCTCACTTTGACCATCACAACTCTTGTTACACAGTCTTGTAACTTTGGACGACTCTCCAGCTTCTCTGAGCTTCCTTGAGGGGCCCTCTCAATCTCCCTCACAGCTGGCCTGGCGTATCACACCCAGCTAACGGTCAGCAATAACGGTGCAAGAGAATTCACGGGCAAAACTCGAGGGACTCGGGGGGGGGGGGGGGGGGGCGGGGGCGGGGGCCGCGGCCTGGAGGCGGGGCCACGTCGGGGGCGGGGCCATACTGGGCGGGGCTGCGGCCTGGGGGCGGGGTCTGCGCTGGGCGAGCTTTCCGCTTTCTGGTGGTGGTGGGCCCTGCTTCTCAGGCTGTTGAGTCGGGAAGGAAGAGCCGGGGCTTTACCCTCAGAGATGAGGTTAGGATGGGACCTTCCCCCATCCCTGCCTGCGGAGCTTCACCAGCTGTCCCTCACCTCAGCACCCCTGGGCCTCACAGTGGGGCCGCACGGGTCAGGGGCGGCCTCCGAAGGCCTGGAGAGACCCCGAGCACCAGCCGCCCTCTCTGCTGGAGCTTGGCGCAGGTCACCCTCATCATCGTCACCGTAGCACTGACCGCTGCCTGGTGAGGCCGCACCCCGCCCTAGCTGCCCAGCTCTAGGCAAGTGCCCGGGCCCGGGCCCCAGTGTCATCGTCCCAGGGGCTGGAGCACTACGCACATCTGCCTCGTGAGGCTCCTGCGGGAGTGGAAGGAGAGGTGGAAGGGGGCCTAGAACCTATGTTCAGCGCCGGGTTCGGGGCTGGCCCAGAGGTTCTGCCGCAGCTGCCGCGGGGGTTGGCGAGGCCAGCATCTCACAGGACCAGTAGCCACACCGCAGAGGGTGCCCAGGCCGCGCTGGGCATTGTTTTCTGGGAAGCTGCCAGGAAGGCCCTGGCGTCTCCAGCGAGGCCAGGGGGATGGTTCCTGAGAGCCCCCAGGTGAAGGCCATCAGCGCAGCGTGAGGGTGGAGGCACGAGGTCTCTTCCGAGGGGGCAGAGGCAGAAGCCGGTGCAGACAACCAAGGCCTCCAGCACAGCCGGTGGAGGGGACTTCACGACTCAGGTATGCTTCTATTACAGCCTTGCTTTGGTGGAGGGGCCCTCAGTGTCAGGCCCTGTGATAGACAGGGCCTCTGGCTGTGACGGTCGTCACCAGGGACGGAAGCAAACGCTACGTTTCTTCTTTTTTTGGACAGCTTCTCTTACATGAGTATTACATGGCAAATTTGCAAGATGTAGATTACCCCATAGTAGTGGTGCTCATAGGCTCCACTCCAAACATTTAATACTAACACTTTGATGTATTTCTTTCCAGACTTTGCTATGAGGATTTTTGGTATTTAAATAATATATATACATATATATTTTTGAAAGGTCAGAAAACATTTAACATTTTATCATAAGCAATCTCTACATTATTGTATACTCTTCTAAACCTCATTTTTAGTTAATGTTCCATATTAACCATTCTGCTTTTTCTTTGATATTCAGGTTTGTTCTAAGTTTTTGATATTATAAGATGTTGCTTAACATATTTGTGGGTAATTGTACTTGCTTCTGAACTGTCTTATTCCAAAAATCACAACGCTTTTCTCGAACCTCAGATGATTTTCTAATCCAGGGTTCTACTCTTGAGCCATTTCTCTTCTTTTTCTGTAGTCTCCTTAGGTGAGGTTTCTACCTACTGAGTATGTTATTTCAATACTGACTTCTCCCTTTTGCTTCAAATTTATACCTCCAGATGCTTGCTAAACATTCCCAACCTTGATTTCCCACAGGTTCCCCAAACCTAACATCTGTAAATTTAGCTCTGCCAGCCGGGGGCTCTTGTTTTCCTAGTCCCAGTATCAATTGGTGGCACCTGGTCACCAAGCCAGAAACGGGTGAGCCTTTCTCTGCTCCGCCCCCTTCATCTTTCCCATGATTAGTCAGTCACCAATATTTAGCACCTGTCTGCTAAACAGTTCTCAACTTTTAATCTCCTCTCGATTCTTACTCGTACCCTGGTGGTTCAGGACCTCCTCATCTCTCACCAAACTATGCAAGTAGCCTCTTAACTAATCTCTGTTCTTAACTAATCCTCTGTTGCTGATCTCTGTTTTTTTTTTTTTTTAGCTGCTTTTGTTAGTCTCTACTCTGCATTTTTTTTTTTTTACTCTAGTAATAAACGCCATTTTGTTCAGTGCTTCCATATCTTTACTGATTACGGTTTTTCTAGTTGGAGTGCCTCAGGCAGGTAAACACTAGAATTTTCACCACCTACTAGAGTAGGTCAGGGGCTTTATTTATTTTATTTTTTTCCAAGGAATTTGTCCATTTCATCCAACTTTTTTACTTTATTGTCATAGTTCATAATAGTTCCTTATTTTTCTTTTAATATTAGTAGTTCTGGTACTGTTCCTTCTTTCCTTGATATTGTTAATTTGTGTCTTGTGATCAGTCTGACTAGGAGTTTATCAATTGTCTTTTTTTTTTGGCAAAGAAACAGCTTTTGGCTTTATTGATTTTATTATTTTTCTGGCTTTTGATAGATTTCTGCTCATATTTTTATTATGTTCTTCCTTTTGTTTGCTTCCTTTGGTTTCCTTTTCCAGTTTCATAAGGTGACTACTTATTAGATCATTAATTTGAGACCATTCTTCTCTTCTTAGTATAAGCTTATTTTTTTCAAAGTGAACATAACCTCAAGATGTTATTGCCTTTATAATAACACAAAAGATGAAACTCAAAACTGGATCATTTGGCCTTTTCTCTTGTTATCTCCTCCTAGTTCAAAATGCTTGCATCTCTTAATAGCCGTCATTCTCTTAGATCTATAGTTGGGCCCCACGCATTCTGTGTTCTCGCCTTGGCACAATTTTCTCTGTGGTTTCAGCCTTTTTCTGGAAAATTGGCTTAGTCTGCTTACCATAGTCACTCTGCCTCCTGTCCCAACACTGCTTCCCCTGGACACATGAAAATCCTAACCCTTCTTGTACTGTGTTATTTTGTTGGTATCTGCTGCTTCTTACAGAAGCAGTTGGTATCACACTTCTTAGAGAAAGTCTGCTGGGTTTTAAGAATGTTTACCTTGGTTGTGTGGATACTTTCCCTAAACATGTTTAATGCTGTGAATTTTCCTATAAATACTGATTTATCTGTAGTCCATATATTTTGATGCATTGTCTTCATTTTCAATTGAAATTATTTTTTAAATTTATTTGACTTTTTGAGTTATTTAGAAGTATGTTTTCAATTTTCAAATATTGGGGAATTCCCCACATATCTTTCTGTGTTGATTTCTAATTTAATTCCATTAGGGTAAGAGAACATACTTTGTACAATTTCAATATTTTAAACTTCACTGAAGTCTTGTTTTATGAACAGTGTATCTTGGTGACCGTTTTTTGTATACTTGGAAAGAATACGTATTCTGTTTGTTGGATAGATTCTCTATAAATATTAGGTCGTTAGTTTATAGTGTTTTTCATGTCTTCCATGTCCTTCCTAATTTTCTTTCTGCTGCTTTTATTCCTGAGGGAGAATTGGTGAAGTGTCCAACTCTAGTCCTGGTGTTGTCTGTGTCTCCTGAGCTCTGTCAGTTTTTGCTTCATGCATTCTTCAAGCTCCACTGTTAGATGTATATACATTTAGGATTCTTATGTCTTGTGGGTGAATTGTCTCCTTTATTATTTTCTAATGACTCTCTTTAATCTGTGGTAATACTCCTGTTCTGAAGTCCACTTTGTCTGGTATTCATAAAGGCCCCCCAGCTTTCTTTGGATTAGTGTTTTCATGGTATATCTTTTTACATCTTTTAATCTTTTAACGTAGTTATGTCTTAATCTCGAAGGTGAATTTCTTGTACACAGCATATGGTGGGGTCTTGCTTTTTTATCTGATCTGACAATCTCTGCCTTTTAATTGAGGTGTGTAGACCATTTACATTGCTATTATTGATATGGTTATATTTAAGTCTACTATCTTGCCAACTGCTTATTATTTGTTCCATCTGTTCTTCGTTTTCCTACCTTTGCCAACTTGCTTTTGGATTATTTTTTACGTTTCTATTTTCTCTTCACGCTTATTAAACCTCTTTTAATATTTTTTTTCTGTGCATGTCACAGGATTTAAAATATTCATCTTCAGTTTACACATTTTAAAATCATCATCTTCAAAAAAAGCCTTCAAATAATATTATACCACTTCATGTATAGTGTAAGAACCTTACAACAAGATATTTTTCCTTTTCCCCATCCTTTGTGCTATTATCATATACGTAGGAGCTGTATTATTTCAAATGAGTTTTAAATTTCTTAAG